ATATTATAATTTTCTGTTTTTCCATAATATTTTATTTGTTTGGTGATTAAATTAAGCAGGTCAGTCACAAAACTTAGAACAAGTGAAGACAGGCTGATGGCAAAGAACCTCAGTCACATTCTTTTGGATGTGTCGTGGAAACTAATTTAGTATTATTGAATTATAGTCGGTAATTATTAATAACTCCGCTTCTAATTTAACTTACTGTTTTATCTAGAAAGTGGGATATGAGAGAGGCATTAGGAAAAGAAATACTATTCTGAATGTATCAAGGATTATTGATTTTTAGTATTGTACCCATAAATATGTATTATTTTTAATTAATTTACTTGGAAATATTGCTTTAACTCTTAGAAATTGATATAAGTAGTTAAAATATGCTGCTAGTCCCTTAGTTTTATTGGGGTAATGTTTTCAAAAGGAGATTACTTTATAATTGCAAATTAAACTGAGTCAGTACAGTTGAACGCACCTATAAAATTATTACTGGATCATAGGTAGAGAAAAAATTTTCATCTATGGGCTTCCGGCTGGTTCATTTTCATATAATCTATGTCCTCGTCTTGTCATCGCTCCTCGAGAAAACAGCATCCCCTATTTTTGCTGTCCGTAAATGGAAACAACGCATAAAGGTAGTTAGCCCTAATCCTTATTCAATTTTCATTTGATTGTATAGAATGTTTTTCAATTTAGTGAGTGATGGGTTTTGATTAGCGTTGCTTCGATTTTTTTTGGTGTGAATGACTTCGGTGGCAATGGTTTAGTGCTCTAAGATGGGTTTCATTTTGGCATTTTTTTGTCCACCCTTCTAATGTGAACTTTAATATAGTTTATTTGGGGTGGAATAATTATGGTTTCGTTACAATTTGTGAATTTTGAATGCAGGTTTAGGTGATGGTTGTGGATTTTTCATATTGATGTGGCCAAGCCACGAAGATTTGCTTTCGTTTTATACTCAAAATATGTAAAATATTTATTAAAAAATATTCTAAAATTTTAAATTCTTTTAAAAAATTTTCGTTTTTGCCCTGTTATTTTAGAGATTGGGTTTTAACCTTTTTTTTGTAATAGGCTTGCCTTGAGATAACATCCTTGGATTAGATGGACAAACTACTTACAGATGACTTACAAAATATATTAGATAAACATGAACATCAAAACGTGAAGAACAAAGCTCCACTCACCCTTCTTTCTTTTGGACTTGGAAAGGGGTCATTTCTGGAAAGGTAAGAAATGTTTAATTATTTTAGAATGGTTTATTTTTCAATTCTTGTATTTCATTTGGTTGACAATAACTACTGTAATTTTTTACTCTTCTGAGTTGTAATAGTTCATTATTGAGTGTGTATTATTTGATTGATGGAAGTTGTGGTTCTTAAAATTTTAAAATGTGTTTAAGATGAAGTTAACATTAAATTGTTTAAACAGGTTATCATTTAAATACATCAAATGAAAAAGAAGACAAAAAGTACGAAGGATTCGAAACCCGAAGAAGTGGAGCAGCTTTAATGTTACCTCTTCTTGGACTTGAATCATGCAATCCAATTCACACAGATGTGTATAAGGCTCCATATTGCAGGTTCTATTATATGGGTCATTTCACCATTAATGGTATTATTTTCTCAAGTATCTATGGTTAGAGGCACTTCTCTGTGGTTGAACGCTTAGGAATAAAACTAGCACCATACAATAATCTTAAAGGTAAGCAATTGTTTTGTTGTGTATAATTTTGATGGTATTTATCATTTATTAAAGATTTATCCTGTATATATTTCTCTGATCTATGGTACTTATTTTCATTGTAATTTGTCACCTATGGTTTTTGTTATTTATTATCCACAGCATCTGTGATTATTTCTATTGCCATTAACTTTTATCTATGTCATCAATAAAATTGACAGCACGTCGCCATTACGTCACCATTTTGTAGTTATCTATTTATTTGCTTTTTGGTGCAGGTTTTTAGTATTCAATGTTTTATTTAATTCCTTATTCGTTTAATAATATAATTAATATTTTTTTTATCCGTTTCTGCAGATCGTGCAATAAGTGAGAGAGTTAAATTCAGATTGATCGAAACTTCAATTGAATCTACCAATGTCTACAATGGTGTTTACTTACCTGGACTGTATTCTTGTTTTGCTGTTTCCAACTTCACCTTGGAACATTGTGCCGTTAATTTTCAACAGATGGGTGGTCACAAGAGGAGATTTATTTGAAATCCACTAAAACAACAAATTGCAATGGTAGTTTGCTCATCACACCTGCAGACTTTAGAACGTTATTACTGCAGTTAATTAAGGTGAGAATATTTGATATAATTAATTTTCATTGCTCCTTATTAATCTGTTACCACCGTATCTGTTTCAGATCGACGTTGGAGAAGACAAAGATGACCCCGTAGTTAAAATTGTTCTCTATCTTGCATGCTCTTACGTAGTAGAATTCATCAAGTTAATTTTATTCAACTTAGTTTTTTATTTTGCATGTTTTTTTTTGTAGTTTATTTTGTTTGAATTAGTTTTTATTTTGCATCCTTATTTTTGTTCATTTTGTTTGAAGTAATTGTTGATTGTAGATGTTTTTATTATTTTTTTTATGTAGTAGTAATGTAGTTGTAGAAATAACACGTTTAGTAGTTGTAGTATAGTCTAACCTTGCTTACCTCTTCGCTTAGCTTACTGCATATTCTTCCTAATTTGCTTTGCATTTACCCTACGAGTTCTACATGATTCAACGTTTCGTTATCGTGTGTGTTTCTTCTCACCCTTGTGGAATTAGGGAGGGCCTCCCCGAACGACTTCCCTTGGGCTTAGCTATTTAGTTGATCTTAAAAGTGTCTTATACACTTTTCGCGAGTCTACTCTAGCGTTACTTCCTTTCAGACAGGGTACA